AGGGACCTTTGGGAAGCGATTAGGTTACAAAGGTGGAGCCCTTTTGAATGAGATTGCTGTTGTTCAGTCACTAAGTCATGTCTGACCTTTGCAACTCCATGGACTGCAGCACCCAGGCCTCCCGGTTCTTCACCATCTCCCAGTGTTCACCCAGGAGTTGAAATCAGTGCTTTTCTAAAAGAGACCCACCTCCTAAGAACACAGAAGACAGTCATCTAGGAACCAGGAAGCAGGCCCTCACCAGACACCAAATATGCCAGGACCTTGATCTTGAACTTTCCAGCCACCTTAACTGTGAGAAATAAACCTGTGTCGTTTATAAGCCACCTAGTGTATGGCATGTTTTTATAGCAGCCCCCAACGAACTATATAGCTTAGTTGGTAAAGAATCCACCTGCAATGCAGGAGACCCTGGTTCGATTCCTGGGTCGGGAAGATCCATTGGAGAAGGGATAGGCTACCCACTCCAGTATTCCTGGGCTTCCCTTGTGGCTCAGCTGGTAAAGAATCTGCCTGCAATGCAGGAGACCTGGGTTCAATCCCTGGGTTGGGAAGATCCCCTGGAGAAGGGAAAGGCTACCCACTCCAGTATTCTGGCCTGGAGGATTCCATGGACTGTATAGTCCACAGGGTCGCAAAGAGGTGGACACAACTTGCACTGCACTGCACTACCAACAAACTAACATAGAGACAGGTGTTTCTGCTGTAACATGGAAAATGCAATCCAGTGAATGCTTAATCTGCAAAAGTGAATGCTTAGTCTGCAAAATCTTGTACTCCTAAGAACCAAGCTCACAGGAAAAAAATAAGGTTCAAAATCTATGCAGCTCTGTAATCAGAAGAAGAAAAAAACTCAATCAACTCTAAAAAAAAAAATTAATTCTGGTAAGGAAACATGTTAAATTGCTAAGAAAAAAAAGTTAATATATTTTAAATTTTAAAAAATTTGATAAAATTTAATATCATTTAATTCTATCATTAAATGATAGGATTTGACCTTAAAAAAATACGGTAAAAGCAGTATGATAGAAGAGGGTGTAGAGAAGTATGGAAGCTGGTGGGTTGTGGGCACAATGGCTAAACAGGCAAAGGACCTGAGCAGCAAATAGCCCAGAATGGACCACATGGCCATCCTGAGCCAGAGTAGCACCGAGTGACGAGCACCATGGACAGGACTGAGTTCTTCGGAGGCTTCTGCCCACAGCTGTGTGGCCGGTGCTCTGGGGTCAGGGCTGATACCCGGTCCCATAAGACACTGATGTACTGGCCAAACTGGTACACGGACCAACGCTACCTCAGGGTCACAACGCCATCATTCACGGCAGCCACAGTGCCCTTGGCACTGCAGCAGGCACACACGTATGTGCAGACACGATGCCCAAACAGTGTGGGAATCTCGGACAAACGTGATTCACACGACCTAAGAGGGTAACCCCCCAGGAAATCAATGCGAGATAAAGGTCAGAAGAGTGACTGGCACATGTCTTAATAAGCATCCAGAGGGGCCTAGAACACTTTAGCTGTTGGTCTGGGCAGTTTTATGGGGTCATTGGGAGCCACAGCTCCAGGTTTAAAGCAGCTTGGAGTCACATCCTTCCTCTCCTGAGAAATCTTAACCAAGTTACTCCACCGATCGGTGTAGCTGCTTTCTTAGAGACAGGGGTGATAAAAATAACAGTCCTTGTCACATGTCAAGGAATAAACGAAACAGGAAAAGTACCCAGCACAACACCAGTAACCATCAGAGCCGATTCCTAGTCTCCTTCTTGCTGGAGACCGAGGCATCTTGGGGAAATGGAAAAAACAGGAGTTTTTCTTCTCTGCTTTTTTTTACGGCCACCCAGTTCTGGTACATAAAGCGTACTTCGAAATGGTCAGGTGAGGAAATGGATCTAATGGGAAGGAAAATGGCATTTGAGAATCAAGGAGGACAATTCTCTTTCTTCCTCCTTTTAGTCTTCATATCCCAAGAAGTTAGCAAAGATGAGCATCTTGCCTAAAGCCCCTCAGCTCGTTAGCAGGAGGGCCAGGGCGCATGCCGAGCCTGCGTTCTGAGTGGACTGCATTCTCAGTGGACCACATTCATGCTCACAGAGCCAGAGCAGCGAAGGGCTGGATTGACCTTGCTTACCTCCTGCGCTAAATGCATTTAAATATGGTTTCTAATGCCAATACCTTGCTATTTCTCGCACATAAAATCCCATTAGCTTGACACGCCTACCAAATACTCAGATGTGAGACAAGATGTGGTTATTTTTAAACAGCACTCAACCTGCATGTGGGGGAAGATGCATTCCGGGGCACCTGTCGGGATGCAATCATGCTTCATGTGGCACTAATTCTGGAAGGTGGAACCTGCCAAATGGGGTCCTTGCAGCTTCAGCAGAGGAGTGAGACAATCCAGTAAATGCTGTAAAATTGTTGTTGGTGTCGAGTCACTAAGTCATGTCAGACTCTTCGTGACACCATGGACTGTATAGCCCACCAGGCTCCTCTGTACGTGGGATTCTCCAGGCAAGAATACAGGAGTGGGTTGCCATTTCCTTCTCCAGGGGGTCTTCCTGACCCAGAGATCAAACCTGTGTCTTCTGCATTGGCAGGCAGATTCTTTGCCACTGAGCCACCAGGGATAAATCACGCTTAACTTCACTGACTATAAATTAGCCAATTTCACTGTTCAAGGAATCCAGGGAGTGCTTTGGACTCCCACGTTTCCGATGAGACAACTGAGGCTCAAGAGACGTGAGGTAATTATTTCCAAGGTCCCAAAATCTCTATGTGTCGAGGCCAAGTCTGAACTCAGACTGCCTGACTGGGATACACTCAACCTGTCCACTCAGCTCACTGGGAAGCACACAGCTCCCATCCTCCACCCTCACCCCAAAAATTTAGGACTAGCTGGGCCTCTCCACTTCTGATTGGAAGTGTGGATCAATGTGAATATCAAGGTCACTTGGTCATGTCTGGCTCTTTGCAACCCCATCGACTATAGCCTTCCAGGTTTCTCTGTCCATGGAATTCTCCAGGCCAGAATAGTGGAATGAGTAGCTGTTCCCTCCTCCAGGGGATCTTCCTGACCCAGGGATCAAACCCAGGTCTCCTGCATTGCAGGCGGATTCTTTACCAGCTGAGCTATTAATGTGAATGCTTCCTCTTTAATGAAGGATGACTTCATTTCTAGAGAAGGAATCAGAGACACCAGATGACAGCTCTGAGTGACGCAGGAGGCAGCCCTACTCCCATCTGGATGCAGCCCCCTGCTCGAGTCTGACTTTATTTACTTGCTGGACTTCGGCCTGTGCAGGGTGTTGGGGGCCCTCGAGTTATTAACAGTTACTCCTGTTTAAACTTTGAAAGTTCACCCACTAGTAAAACAGTGTTCCGCTGTACACAACCAAATATTTTCTTAACAGCTGTCTGTTTTTTTTTAATGGGTATTTTTAAAACAACTTTAGATTTCATAAAAGTTCGTATTACTGAATCTGAACTGAGAAGCAGGGATGCAGCCTGACGCGGTCAAGAGGAAGGAAGAGAGCTTGGCATCAGAACTGCACTCAGACGTCCCCCCATCAAGCCTAGGGGCTCCCTGGGGAGGCGGCTCGTCCACTCTTGCACGGCAGCCCCCTGCGGCACGCTTACAGTGACCACCGGGGAAATAAGACGTCAGCTCTGCCACTTGGAAGCTGTGAGTGCAGCCTCGATGGCCCCCCACTGTGGGCGTGAAAGGACCACCTCCCGCCCAGGAGGCTGGCTGAGACGGTTCATGTGCCAAAGGGTTTGGAAACCACACACAGTTATGCATCAGTTGGGGAAACACTGCAAAAATATTAGGGAACGACGGTCCCGGAGAAACACACAGGACGGCATGGGATCAAATGCCAAGTTGAGAAGAGGCGGATCGGCTGGAGTTGGAAGAGGAAGAAAAAGGCATCTGAGATGGGTTGGCAGAGTGATGCCCCCTCCCCAACAAAGATGTCCACATGCTCATCCTGGAAGCTGTGAATCCTCAAGGTTCTGTGACAAAGGGAAATGAAGGCTGCAGATGCAGCCAAGGTTGCTTGGGATTGGGAGATGGTCCTGGGTTATCCAGATGGCCTCAATGTACTTATAAGGGTCCTTAAAAGTTGAAAAGACCCTGATGCTGGGAAAGATTGAAGGCAAAAGGAGAAGCGGACGACAGGGGATGAGATGGTTGGATGGCATCACCGACTGGATGGACGTGAGTCCAACTAAACTCTGGGAGTTGGTGATGGACAGGGAGGCCTGGCGTGCTGCAGCCCATGGGGTCACAAAGAGTCAAACACGACTGAGCAACTGAACTGAACAACTGAAAAGCAGAAGCGGGAGACAGAAGAGAGAACCAGAGAGACAGCAGCCTGAAGAGGACTCGACCTGCCATCGCTGGCTTAGAGGAAGGGATGCGTGCGCCCAGAGAAGCCGGACCAGGAAAAGAAATGATTCTCCCCGGGAGCCTCCGAGAGGAAGGCAGTCCTGACCGTACCTTGATTTGAGCCCAGTGAGATGTCTAACCTCCAGGACTCTAGGAGAATAATCTGCGGTGCTCAATGGCTACGTGTATGATGTTAGAGAAGCGCGAGCATGCGATGCCGTGGATGAGCCAGGCTTTACAGTGCTTGGGCGAAGTGGCGGGCAGGGAGGCGAGACAGGACCAAGGTCACTGCCTGCCCATGGTCAGAGGCGGTCAGCGTGCCCGCCTGTCCTTTCCGCACAGATCACATGCAGGTGGTCCAAGCTGGGCCAGGGAGCCGGCAGCATCCTTTTTACTAACCAGTCTCTGGAGAAGACATGTGTCCTGAGTCTCAGGGCTTTTTCTCTATACAATGCGGGTTAAGCAGCAAGCTCCTCCCTGTCGTGAGAACTAGAGCTGATTCATTTTAAATGCCAGGCACGGAGCCTGCCCCAAGCTCAATGAACCATCGCCATGTCGGTGGCCAGAGCTACTAGCGGTGCAGCCTGAAGCCTCCCCTCGGTGTGGGTACCTGGATGTTGAGTCTCCCCCGATGGGCCCCCAGGCCGTAGCGCTTGGAAGTGGATGCATGGAGCTGGAAGTCTGTGATTTTTAAGGTTTCCAGACCAAGAGGTGGGCAACCTGGAAAGGACAATGCTCATTAAAAACAAGGACAGACATGGACAGAAACGAACTTTCTGATTTTGAGAAATCTGGCCACCTGCTTCTCTGTCTCTCCCTAAGCTCCAGCTCAGTGTAAGCCCACTCACTGGTACGCCTGGTGTTTCCAGACAAACACTGTTGATTCAACCGTCCACGTTATGCCAGTTTTCTTTCTTGTCGGCATTTCCTCTCCGGGTGTCTCTGCCCTAATATTCCTCTGTCTGATGCTCTCCGTGCTACTGTGTGAGGCTGTTTCCAATTAAGGATCCTTCCACTGAATGACTCAGCCAGGGAGCGTTATTGGTTAGAAATTTCAGAACAATCCCGTGGCTGAGTTCTGCATATTAATCAGAACTTGATGGTTTTGGTTCAGCAACTCTGGCCTTTGTATTGTGCATATTAATGAACACAGCAATAGAAAGAGAAAGAAAAAAAAAAAAACAGACCCTATTGCCTTGCATTCCTGGCAAAACTGGTCCAAGCTGGGCCAAATCTGAGAATGGCTACTCAACACAGTTTAGTCCAAGCTGCCCCTGGAATTTGACGCTGGCACGTGGGCAGATCCTTGGCCATCATTCCAGTCCACCCCACTGTCCCTGCGGATACAAGCTTTAACAGTAGCCCTGGGGGCCTCCTGACTCCTGGGTTGCCGGTCTCACCACCCACCCTGCCACGGGGCTGGAAATGACCCAGAATCCTCTCCCCTTCACACCTGACTCTGGGGAAAGAAAAGAAACACTTGGGAGTAGAAATGAGCAAAATCTACTTCCACAAGAAGCATTGGAAGTCCCTGATGTAACAGAGGCAACTTTAAAAAGCCCCGTGGGTCACTGCTGAGATGGGAGTGCCTCCTGGGCATCCCGGGAACACCTGGGGATGCGGGGGTGTCTGTCCATCCATGACAGGGCAAGGCCCTTCTGGTCTTGGGATGCTGAAGGAGGCTGGCAACATACTGACTGCAGGAGATGCTCTGAAGACACCAGGTAAGGAAGTTGGCCCATGCACTGCAGTCAGAGGAATTCAGACCTGCCAGGACCTGAGGCGCTGTCGAGTCCTCCCCTTGAGTTTTCAGCAGAGGAAACTGAGGCCCCAAGACTTGAGGTGAACCATCCGTGGCATCCTTGCCAGTGACGAGTGCACCTCACATCCTAGTCTCTAGGTTCTCAGCTCCAGGCTATGAAACGATGCCACTCTGCTCCTCGGCCCGTATCTACCAGGAGGCTGCCTGGATTGGCACAGAGAGGCAGAGTACTAGTGCCCAGCGAGGTAAAGGGCACCAGGGAGGTGACATTTCAGCACCGGCTCCATGCTGCCTGAGGACTCAGAAGGCTTCAGGCAGCCCCGTGGTGATTCTCAAGATTTGCGCCGGGTCTATGTGACACCCAAAATAAGCAAAAATAAGCTGTCCCTCTCCTTGAACTCACTCAAAACATGGAACAATAAGGGGAAAGAAAGCAATGCAGATGATTAAGAAACGCAGCCAGTAGCCAAGGCCACCTCTTGGTCCTTGACAGGACATCTATGGGACCTGAGCCGCTCAGCTGCTGCCTGGACCTGGACACAGTAGGGGATCGCTGCCAACACAGCCTCCAAGGCAGTAAGCAAACAGCCAAACAAAACCTACAGGATCAATCAGCCATCTTCAAAGCGAACTCCAGAAGGGGGGAGGGGACAGAAAGGAACCAAGAGGCCCCATCCCAGCCACAACTCCTGACTTGTCCACGACTCCCCAGAGACTACAGAGTGACAATCACCCTAACACGGGGCTTCTCCCTGACAACTGCTGGGACAAGGGCCACGGGAAACCCGCTATCTGTCAACAATCAAAAGGACATCTTCATAAATCAGGCAGAGAAAGACAAATATTATATAACATCCCTTATATACGGTAACTAACAAGAAATGATACAAAGGAACTTATTTACAAAACAGAAACAGACTCACAGACTTAGACAATGAACTTAGGTTTAACAGAGGGGAAGGATGGGGGGAAGGGATAGGCAGGGAGTTTGAGACGGATAGGTACACACAGCTGTATTTTAAATGGACAGCCAACAAGGACCCGTGGTACAGCACAGGGAACTCCGGTCAACGCTCTGTGGCAGCCTGGATGGGACAGGAGTTTGTGGGACAGCGGACACAGGTTTATGGACAGCTGAGTCACTCTGCTGTGCGCCTGAAACTATCCCAACATTGCTAATCGGCTACACTCCAATATAAAATAAAAGTTTAAAAAAACAAATCTCCAAATATTGTCCTGCCATCCCCCCCCACCAAAAAAAAGGGCATCTTCAGACAAGTGCTTAGAAAATTTACCCACCTCCCATCATAACCTCAGATTCCTGCGAAACACACTGTTGGAATAACGTGACAGACACACAAACACACATACGCCACGCGGTACAATAAGAGCTGAGTGCCCAGTGCAATGACGGCCCCCAAAAGACCCCAGTCTACTCCACCCACCACGGAACTCCATAAGCAATGCGAAGTTGAAGCGAGAGGCAAGAATTCCTTTGGCTCTAAATTCTCAAAGATACACTCGGCTCCATCCAAAGAGCTGTCAATCGTGATATCACCACCCGACAAGCAGGACTTTCCTTCGTCTTTAGAAAATATTTCTGAGGAAGCCAGGGGTGCCGCCTTGAGGATCGAATAAATGGAGGCGACGCTAGTTTTTCCAAGCCTAATTTAAATCTCTGCCATCAGAAACAAGGCCAGTCAGAGCACTGGCATCCGGGCTGGAGTGCAACATGTTGGCATTATCATCAAGATTATAATGTCGATGGAGGAGGTAATTACCAGGTTTAAAGAGTGCTTGAAATCAATGGGAAACGCACTCCCAGCTCTTCACCCCGCCCCTGTGATCTAAGGGCCCAGCCAGGCCGCACTGAAGCGGCTCTGACTGTAATTCAGCCAGGACTCCTGGGTCAGTTCGTTCCAGCAACAGCCCCTGAAGAGCCCTCCAGAAAGCTCCCTGCTCTTCCTCCAAAAACAAACACCGCCCTTTGTCATCAAATCACATTTGTGTTATTTCTAAGAGGAAAAAGACTCTCATCCTGAGAAGCATGTGGGCGAGGAGAACATGAAAAAAAAAAGTGTGAAAAGGGCACTTGAGGAAAATATTAATTAGCGACGGGAGATGCGTCATAATCTAAGGAAAGAGCGACAGTCATCAGACGTGAGTCGACTTCTCCCTTCCAGGCAGCACCGCTCTCTGAGAACACCCTGTGCCGAATGGGGGGGGCCCTGCCTCCCGGGTCTGCGCTCCGTGCCCGGGAGGTGGGCGACGAGGGGACCCTCTGCTCATTCTGCACCTCCCCTCCGACTAGTGCACATGCCTTCAATCGGATCTCTCCCTAACTAAAATTCCCTGCATTGCAGCCACTCTACAAAACGGACATCACCACCACGGCGTGCTTCCCAGGTGGCGCTAGTGGCTGCCTGCCAATGCAAGAGACATAAGAGATGTGGGTTCGATCCCTGGGTCAGGAAGATCCCCTGGAGCAGGGCCTGGCAATCCACTCCAGTATTCTTGCCTGTAGAATTCCATGGACAGAGGAGCCCTGCAGGTGGGCGACCGTCCATAGGGTCGCAAAGAGTCAGACATGACTGAAGTGACTTAGCACGCATGCACGATGGCATAGATTCATTATTATCACGCTGTCGATTACCACATGCATACAACAGCTCTTTAACAAATCAGCAGTGCTCGTGGCATTTAATCTGTGACCTAGAAGTTACAGGGCACAGTCAGAACAGACTGCAGAAGCTGGAATTCGGAGTCGGAAGCATCAATCCCAACATCCCACTCCCAAGCCCTCAATCTGTCTGGAGGGAAGGCTGTTATGAAAGTCAAATCATTTAAAAATGATTTTTAAAGGATAGTGACTTGGGGAGCGATGCAAGCAACCACTGTGAGCCAGAGCCTCTGCAGACACTTTGACATTAAACCTTCACAAGGACCATGAGAGATGGCCAATACCATCCCTGTTCTACACATAAACAAAGACTCAAAGAAGCTTACAGAGTTAAGCAGCTCCTAAGAGGTTGGACTTCCCAGGAGGCTCAGTGGTAAAGAATCTGCCTGCCAATGCAGAAGATACAGGAGGCACAGGTTCAATCCCTGGGTTGAGAGAATCCCCTAGAGGATGTAATGGCAACCCACTCCATTATTCTTGCCTGGAAAATTCCATGCACAGAGGAGTCTGGCAAGCTTCAGTCCAGGGGGTCACAAAGAGTCAGACAGGACTAAGTGACTGAGCACATAAGTGTCTGAGTTAGAATTTGAAAGTCAAGTGTGACCTAAAATGCCGGGCACAGTCTTTGCACTACCTCTCTTTCACTTGGAAACTAAAGAATGTGATACAAATGCAAGTTTCGTGATGGCATTTGGGGTCACATGCAAGACAGGAAGTAGCACTGAGACAGGCCTCACCAGTTGGCAGAGGGGAGCTGAGTCCGAGGCCTTCTGGCCTGCAGTGACGTCTGCTGGAAACAGAGCAAAGAATTCTCCGAGACCTTGAAGGCACTGCCAGGGGCCAGCTCACAGCCATCCTGAACTTTGCTTTCGTGGTCGCCTATAAACTGAATAGCTCTGATTTAGGACATTTCTTTCTTCGCCTTTCTGAACCTAACATTCCCTTTGATCAGTAAGTGTGTGGAGACCCTGCCTGGTGCCCTGGAGAAAAAGTGTTTGCGGTGGCTCTTTGCCTGTCTCAGAAGTCGCTTACTCCCCAAGGGGCACGCTTCCCCTGGAGTCTTGCAAAGGAGCTAATCCCAGCCTTAAATCTAATCACCCTTGGAAAGCTGCTCCCTGGCCTCTGGACTCTTCCAGACAGCAGTTCTCACCCTGAGCCAACATCAGAATCTTCTGGGTTACTTCGCCCTGTAAGACAGACCTATTAGCAGGGCAGGAATAGAGACACAGATGTGGACACAGTGGGGGAAAGAGAAGACAGGAAGAACTGAGAAAGTAG